TACCCAGCCAGGTGTCCCCCGTGGGAGTCGTGGCTGGGGGGTCCTTCTCCCCCGTCGTGTCGTCGCCGTCGCTGTCGTCGTCTGTCGTGTCATGGCGGGCCCCTGGGGTGGGTGGTGTGGGTTTGGTGGTGGCCTGGCCCCTCCCCGTTGTCGGCTGCCGGGCGTTTCCGGCTGGGCTGGTTTCCGGCCGACAGAATGTGGGGGGGGAGCTGGCCAGCCATCCCCATGCTGCCCGCTTGCGGGGGGCCCGCCGGCGCCGTGCGCCGCCCCCGCGCCGTGAGCGCCCCGCGGCCCGGCCGCGCCCGCGGGCGCCCGGCCCCGGCGGCGCGCGCATTTAGTGCTGTGCACTCCCCCGTCCGCGGGCACTTCCATTCCATTCCATTCCATTCCTCCTCCTCCTGCATCTCTTCCTGCTTCTCCTCCTCGTCCTCTTCCTCCTCCCCCTCTTTCCTGCGCACTTTCCGTACGGCCATCCCCTCTAGCCTCCCGGAGCTCCGCGTGAAGTGGGATGGGGGGAAGGGGGGCCTCGGCGTACGCGTCGGCCTGCCGCTGGAGCTCCGCCCTATCGGACTCCAGCCTTGAGACCTGCGCTGCCAACGCCTCCTCCGTGACTCTGGCCTGATGGGGGCGGGAATAGCATACGGAACGGGGTGGGTGGGTAGGATGAAAGGAAAGGGCGATGCGGATGATGGTGCTGATGATGGTGACGATCATTACGATGATACGGATGATGATGATGATGATGATGATGATGATGATGATGATGATGATGATGATGATGATGATGATGATGATGCTGATGCTGATGCTGATGCTGATGCTGATGCTGCTGCTGATGATGATGATGGTGATGATGCTGACGCTGCTGATGACGATGATGATGATGCTGAGGCTGATGCTGCTGCTGATGATGGTAATGATGAAAATGATGATGATGATGATGATGGCGATGATAATGGTGATGGTGATGGTGGTGATGATGCTGATGATGATGGTGATGCTGGTGATGATGAGGCTGAGGACTATTGTGTTGCTGCTGCTGATGAGGATGCTAATGATGATGCTGATGATGATGCTGCTGCTGCTGACGATGATGCTTATTCTGATGATGATGCTGATGATGATGATGCTGATGATGATGATGATTCTGCTGCTGCTGCTGCTGTGATGATGATGATGATGATGATGATGATGATGATGATGATGATGATGATGATGATGATGATGATGATGATGATGATGGGACGAAGGAGGCGGAAAAGGAGGGGGAGGAGGAGAAGGAGGGGGATACTGAGGAGGATGAGGCGGACACAGACGATACAGAAGGAGGAGGAGGAGGAGGAGGACGAGGAGGACGATGAGGAGCAGGAGGAGGAGGAGGAAGAGGAGAAGGTGAGGATGAGGATGAGGATGAGGATGAGGATGGTGCTGCTGCTGATGATGATTATGATGATGATGGTGATGATGAGGAGGATGAGGAGAGGGAGGAGAGGGAGGAAGAAGAGGGAGAAGGGGGAGGCTGGGGGAGGACGTAAACAAACACAAGCAACAGGAATTATAATCGGACCAAACGCGAAACGTCACAACACAACACGATTTGGGTCTCAACCCCCTGGACATCCTGTCGAGTTACTCCCGCTTCTTGGGCGCGAGCTGGGCTTCCAACCATGGCGTGGCAGAATATCGAATCTGTTCGGCCCCGAAACAAACACACCTGCGACAATCGGTGCAGCCCCGATGCGACTACACCTAACAACATTAGACATGATGGCGTGCGAGCCGTGCGAGAACCTCCCACCGATGTGCACAACTTCTGGGCCTGGGGCCGTCCAAAATAGATCCTTTCTCACTAAGGTGGGAGGGCAGCATTCGGTGCTCAGCCAGCCAGTCCTGACCGCCTTGCTGGTGCTCGAGAAGCACCTGAGACACGGCCTTCCCTCGGGGTCCAGCTGGTGGGCGGAGGCAAACAAAGCGATGCCAGCAGGAGAAGGCGGCTGCCTCGGAGGGGGGAGGGAGAGGAGGGGGAGGGTCAGCAGCAACGGCAAGGTCGGAAGGACGAAGATTGCCGGGCTTCCTGCTGGCCACACTCATGACGTCCAAGGTAGCTCTCAATAGACTCTTCCTCACGAGGCGAGCTCTGCTCTCGATGAGGGGCGTTCGGGGAGGCAAGCGAGGGCCTCGGCGCACGCGTCGGCCTGCCGCTGAAGCTCTGCCTGGTCGGACTCCAGCCTGGAGACCTTCGCTGCCAGCGCCTCCTCCGCGGATCTGGCCTGAGCGGGAGGAACAGGAGGAGGGGGCAATGCGCAGCAGAAAGGGAAGGGGGATGAGGGGGTGGAGGGGGAGCAGGAGGATGAGAAGAAGGGGGAGGATGAGAAGGCGGAGGGGGAGGTGGAGCAGGAGCATCTGCCAAGCGAGGGCCTCGGCGCACGCGTCGACCTGCCGCTGGAGCTCCGCACTATTGGACTCCAGCCTGGAGACCTGGGCTGCCAGCGCCTCCTCCGCGTTTCTGGCCTGAGCGCGACGCGGGGGGAGGTAGGACAAGAGGCAGAGCAGGCAGGAAACACCAGACAACATTCCCGACGTGGGGGCATCCTGGATACGGCCATCTAGCGTTGGGAGAAGATGAGGAGGGGGAAGGGAAGGACGAACCGACGGAGCACGACCAGGAGGAGGCGGAGAAAAGAGTCGGAGGATGGGGGGAGGTGGAGGCCGATAACGAGGAGGAGATCGGGGGGAAGATGGGCGGAGGCGGTAGGGGCGGAAGGGAGGAAGGAGGGGCAAGTGAGACTTTGAAGCGGTAAGGGAGGAGGCGATGCGCAAATCCGCCGATCTTGTCGGCGTGTGTGAGGGGCTTGTCTGTTCGAGTCGTCGTCTCCGTCAGTCGTTGTCTCCGTCGTCCCCTTTGCCTTTCCCCTTTCCCTGCGCCCGCCTGCTCCAGGCCCTGGATTCCTTATCCAGTGTCTCCTTATCCTGTCATTGGATAAGGAGATACTGGATAAGGAATCCAGGGCCTGGACGCCAGTGGGACTGCAATCGTGGATCTGCCATGGATATCGCCGCCGCCCTCATTAGATGATGAATCCTCCAGGGTCTGAAGCTTGGCACATTCCTTAACCAATGCCCCCACCATTATGCTGTGGCCATGCGCTTCTAGAAGAAGAAGAACCAACACCACATAAACTTAAACTTTTGGCGCTCCGCGCGGATTTTTCTTGGATTCGCGCTGTACCCCCCTCCCTGGCGCGCTGAGCGCGCCAGGGGCGGCGCCGTAGGCGCCGCCGGGGGGCCCAGGCGCGGATCCAAGAAATCCGCGCGGAGCGCCAACAGTTTACGTTTATGTGGTTCCTGCTTCCTCGAGCTCCGTACCTCTGCAGCCCCCAGATGGCCAGGTTCCTGCAGCACTCAAGAGCTTCGTACCTCTGCAGCCATGCGCTTCGTACCATCAGCTCCGTACCACGATGCTGTGGCCATGCGCGACGTACCTCTGCAGCCCCCAACTGGCTAGGCTCCTGCAGTATACTCAACAGTGGCCTGGCCGCAGGCCTCAGGCAGCGGCTGGCGAAGGAGCCCGTGCGCTCTCGAGCCTGAGCCAGCCAATCGCTCGGCGAGGGTGTTGCCCTCGCTCGGACGTCCATTCTTCGCGCATTGATTTTTTTTTTGGTTTTTGATGAGATGTATACACACACATATATATATATATGAGTTGTTTTGGTTTTGTATATATATATACTAATCTTATTTATATTTATACATGTATATTAGTTTGTGTTGTTTTCTCGCGAGGTGATCCCAGATGCTCCTAGATGTTCCAAGCAATCTGGCGCTGGCCCCGCCGAGAAACATGCAAACTTCCAAGCGATGCCAAGCTGGATAGGACAGCTGTCGAGGTCGTCGGGCGCTGAACTGGGTTCGCGCTCAGCTCTCCCCCTCTGTAGGCCGGGCCCGCTGGGATTGCCGAGTGTCCGCGCAGCTGGGAGCCAAGATCGTGATTGTGGACTCCTGCCCTGCCAGAGCCTCTGCAGGCCACGAAGCCATCTGGCCTAACGCACTGCAATCAAAGAGAATGAAAATTCACGAGGGGTTTTGGGACCGAAGACCGGCGAGCGAGATTGCCGCATGTTCCGCATCCCCTCCTCCTCCTCCTCCTCCTTCTCCTCCTCCTTCTCCCTCAGCCTCCTCCCTTCCCCCACCATCCAGCGCCTTTTTGACGTCGGGCGGGCATTGAGGCCAGGCTCGTTGCGTTCCTCTTCCAGCGCCCCCTCCTTCTCCTGCTGCTCCGGCTCCTGCTCTTCCTGCCTCCTCCTCCTCCTGCTACTGCTACTGCTCGTGGTACTGCTACTGCTACTGCTACCGCTACTGCTACTGCTACTGCTCCTTCTCCTCCTCCTCTTCCTCCTCCTCCTCCTCCTCCTCTCCCTCCTCATCCGCACCATGCCCCTGGCCCCTCCTCGTCGACCCTCGAGGCCCTGCTGCCCAGCATGCCGAGAGCTGCAGCAGAGCTCCCTCCTGGCGCACGCGGCGCACGCCTGGTGCCCGAGCTCGTCCTTCTCGGACCGCAGCCCGCGGACCTGTTCCGCCAGCGCCTCCTCCGTCGCGCTGGCCTGCGGCGGCGGGGAGGCGGGCTAACCGAGGGACGAGGCAGAGGAGGCAGAGGGAACAGGGAGGAGGAGGAAGAGGAGGAGGAGGAGGAGGTCCAAATCCTCCTCCTCCTCCTCCTCCTCCTCCTCCTCCACAAAGGACAACGCAAGTCCCCGCGGAACGGTCCAAATCATTCTGCACCATTGAAGCGCAGGAGCTTCTGCGATTTAGCCACTACTGTCACGCAGCAGATCAACCATAGAAGCGGGCGAAACACCTTCATGCGTGGGCCTTTCGTTGCGAGCCATCAGTCTCCGAAGGCTCAGCCATTCTGAGGCCTTAGGACCCACGACCTCCGCCCCCAAACTACAGACAGGCACTATGCCTTAACGGCAACCTCTCTTGAACGAGGTCCCTTGTGGGTCCCTTGAAACGCCTTCGGATAGTTCGAGCTTTGCGAATTCGTTTTCCCATGTGCGAGAAACGGCCTTGTTGCATCAGCTGTGCACGCTATTGACACCGTCGGGCACCTGCAGACTCGTCCAATCCAACGTATGCAACGCTCGTCTTGCATGCACTGAAGGGTAACCCGCAGTTCCATGCACACACCCTGCGCCAACTCCTTCGACGTCGCGAGAATGGACAGCTTATCATCATTGAGTCCATCATGGGGCGCGCCACTGGCCTTCACGAACTTTCGCATGCCGTCGAGAGCGACAGACCTCGCATCGTCATAATCACTGGATGGCGTGTGCAGTCCACGATCGCCGATGTAACTCTGGAAGTCAATCAGCGACGCATATTTCACAACATTACCACAGGCATTCACCGAGTGCACCTTTCGGGGGCGGCCAAGAGGGGGGCGTCCGAGAGGGGGGGGCACAAATCATGGCCCTAGGGGGGTCAGGGACGTAACGAAAGAAGAAGAGGCGCCATGAAATCTTGGGAGGTATCATGGCCCCCGCCATGATATCAGCCCCCTCCTAGTCATCACCCCCCTCTTTGCCGCCCCGACTTGATTGCCAGGTCACTGCGTCCATCTCCGCCGTGCAGTCCACATCCAGCAGCCGGCGCCGTCCGAGCACGCTGTCTGCCCGAAGCGCAGGATGGGAGACCCGGGCAACATGTACATATGTATATATATATATGTGTATATACATACATAAGTATATATATATATATATATATATATATTCACAACAGGCTTGAGCCAACACGTAGGCGCTCCACGTCGTAGGAACTCGAATCGTAGTCTTAAGTCGCGCGCGTCCCCCTATGTACCAGCGACCCTTGGGCGAACACTGAAAAAAGCTCAACACATGTCCGCAAAGAGTCAAACATTAATCAAGAAAGAGTTCCCAGACTATTGTTTTATCATTTCTGAATATTCCTCCTGTAGAGGGACAGTCCCGACTTAATCGTAGTCCCAGTAGCGGTATCGACCCATAGTGCTTGCTCCAGACCCAGGACCCAGGCGCAACCAGCTCCAGCGCCAGCAGGAGGAGGAGGAGGAGGAGGAGGAGGAGGAGGAGGAGGAGGACAACGAGGGAAGCGGGGCGAGCACGAGGCGCGGGAGGACGATCTAGAGAGGGGGGATCTAGAGAGGACGATCTAGAGAGGGGGGATCGAGGGACGATCTAGAGAGGACGACCTGGACAGGACGATCTAGATGTGAACACGAGGGAAGCGAGGACAATCTAGAGAGGGGCGATGATGGAGGCGGAATGTGACCATGGAGGATTTCCATCAGCGAGCCCGCTGGGGCCGAAGCCATTGATGTCAAGGTGTCGCGAGCCTGCTGATGAGGAGACAGCTGCAGAGTGTGCTGTCGCCTCCAGTACCTGGTCCCCTGCAAGAGGGTCACCATCCCCTCATGCTGAGGAAGCAACAGCAATACGATAAGACTTCAACAACCTCCGATGGGGGGGCAGCCTCAGTAATGCTGCTGCTCCTCCCCTTGCAGTCCCTGTCCTCCTCCTCCTTCCCCTTGCTTCCCCCTCCCCTCCCCCTCCTCCTCTCCCCCGTCTCTTGATGGTTTTGCGTTGTCCAAGCGAACGCTGGATGGCAACAACGCCGCTAGGAGGGCTTTCCCTGCCGCCCCGGCTACATGCAACAATCGTGACCTTGGGCAACAACGCCTTTTGGTGCGCGGCTTTTGGGGCCATGTGGGGGGGGGTCCAACCCAAGCGCGCGTTCCAGTTGCCGTCCTCCTCCTCCTCCTCCTCCTCCTCCTCCTCCTCCTCCTCCTCCTCCTCTTCCTTTCTCCTCATTATCCTGCCTGCTGCCGCTCGTCTTGCCTTGACTATCATCCTCCGAAGTGCCTCCTCCTCTCTCCTCCTGCCCCCCCACCTCGACACACCGACGGATCATCCTTCGGTCTCCTCCTCCTCCTCCTCGGCTTCCGCCGCCTCCACTTCTTTCCCCTCCCCAATGTGTCTCAGACGTAAGGAGGTCTGGCGTTCAGCTGCAAGCGCAAGCCTGCAAGCAACAATACATCTGATCCCGCCAGTCGGCGTGATAGACGAGGTACTCGCTGCCCCGAAGCCCCCCCCGCAAGCGAGGAAAGCGGCCAGGAGGGGCCTGCGTCGAGCGGTGCGCGCCCGCCCCCCGGGATCTTCGTCGAGGTCGGGCCCCATGTGAGCCCGTCGCTGCTGACCCGCTTCTCCCGCGCATCCCCCCTCCCCCCTCCTCGGGAATCTACTAACCCATGTCGATCAAGACCAAGGTCAGTGAGGCCATGCAGGATCCTGCAACATCCTGCAGGATACTGCACCCAAGCCCGGGTCAGTGCGCCCAGGGCTCTGCAGGATCCTGCAAGATCCAACGCTCTGACTAAACCCCGTTTGTACTGACCCCCGTTTCTTGAGCCCTGACCTCCTTCCTCCCCGAGGCTGCCGGTGTACCGCTACCAGAGCCGTCCAAGCTCGCCGCATGGTGCCGGACCCGTTCCAGTTTCTGTTGCCCACCTCTTCCAAGCGCCACGGCGAGCTACTCTCTTTTGTTTGGAGAAGGAAGAGGAGGAAGAGGTTGAGGAGGAGGAGGAGTCTCTGTAGTCTCTGCTTGATTGTATTATCAAATGAAATTCTGCACGGGGCCGCACGGCGCGGTACTACCTTCCACTCAGGAGGCCTTCGAAAGCAGGGAGCGGTTCAACATGTCGATGCTGAGGCGATGGCTGCGCCGAGCGCTGAGGAGAAGGTCTTCTACCTCACTTCCGCCCTCTCGCTTGGTCGGTGCGATGCCCTGGCCAGCGCGGCCCTCGTGGGTCGTCTGGCGGCTCTGGATGTTGGCCTGTGCAGCCCAGAGGTTCAAGGCGTCGGCGAGGACTGCTGCCACGCCATGCGCGAGCGCAAGCTTGGCGATTACAGCGACCACCGCTCGGAGCTTGCTGCGGCGGGCATCCAGTACATGCCCATGGTGTGGTCCGCCTGCGGCCGCGCCCACTCGGAGGCGCAGCTGGTGCTCCAGACGCTGGCGCTCTTGGCTGCGCGGCGCCGCGGGCTGCGCTGCCACCAGGCGCTGCTGCGCAGGGCGCAGGCGGCCATTGGCGTTGCCATCTGGCGGCGCGCCGCCGCCATGGTCCAGGCGTGCCTGCCCACGCTGGAAGAGGAGCGCCTGCTCTTCCGCGAGGCGGCGCCGGCGCGGGCTCGAGGTGGCATCAGGCTCATGCTGCAGGAAAAAACTCTTGCAGACTCCTACCACCATTCGTAACGTTGGGTGCCTGCTCCAACCTGCGTGTAGATCCATTTCCCGTTGCAGCCTTGCGACGCTGCCGCTAAGCGCGCAACTTGCCGTACGAAGAGCTGGGGTTTACATCTCATGGCTCGGGTGGTGCAAGTATCTTCACAGTCCTTCTGTTCAGCAGCTCGCTCGCAGAGAAGCGCTTCTACATCTGACTCGGGTCTAGGTCTGTAGCTGATAGTGTCAAACTCAACCTTCGCGTCTCGCGACTCCGCTCAGTCGTGGCCGCTGATGGCGTTGGACTCGTGCTTCGCCTCCGTCACAACCGCCACTCACGACTGCTCTGATGCGCCGCCCTCGGGCCTGTAGCTGATGTCTCCGGGCTCGCCCATCGCACCGCGCGACTGAGCCATGCCGTTGTAGCTGATGGCGTTGGATTCGTGCTTCGTCTCCGCAACTGTCGCCTTCCAGGACCAAACGCATGCAGCGTCCCTGGGCCTGTAGCTGGTGACGTCGGGCTCGACCTCCGCGTCACGCGACACAGCCCCACCGTTGTAGACAAACTTAGGTCATGGCATTGGGTTTGTGCTTCGTCTCCACAGCTGCTGCCTTCCAGGATTTCACGTGTGCGACGTCCTCCGGCCTGCGACAGGTGACGTCGGGCTCGGCCTTCGCGTCACGCGACGCTGCCCCTGGCATTGGGCTCGTGCTTTGCCTCCACCACTACCGCCAATCAGGACTGCTCTGAAGCGCCGTCCTCGGGCCTGTAGCTGATGACGTCGGGCTCATCCGTCGCACCACGCGACCGAGTCCTGCCGTTGTAGCTGATGGCGTTGGACTCGTGCTTCGCCTCCGCCACTACAGCCAATCAAAACTGCTCGGATGCGCCGCCCTCGGGCCTGTAGCTGATGTCGTCGGGCTCACCCATCGCACCGCGCGACTGAAAACCCGTCGTTGTGGCTGATGGCGTTGGGCTCGTGCTTCGTCTCCGCAATTGCCGCCTTCCTGGACCTCGCGCGTGCAACGTCCTTGGGCCTGTAGCTGATGACGTTGGTCTCGACCTCCGCGTCACGCGACACAGCCCCGCCGTTGTAGATACGTTTAGGTCATGGCATTGGGTTGGTGCTTGGTCTCCGCAACTGCTGCCTTCCAGGACTCCACGCATGCAACGTCCTCGGGCCTGCGACAGATGACGTCGGGCTCGGCCTTCGCGTCGCGCGACACTGCCCCTGGCACTGGGCTCGTGCTTCGCCTCCACCACGACCGCCAACCACGACTGCTCTGATGCGCCGTCCTCGGGCCTGTAGCTGATGACGTCGGGCTCGTCCGTCGCGCCGCGCGACCGAGTCCTGCCGTTGTAGCTGATGGCGTCGGATTCGTGCTTCGTCTCCGCAACTGCTGCCTTCCTCGGCTTCACGCATGCAGCGTCCTCGGGCCTGTAGCTGATGACGTCGGGCTCGTCCATCGCACTGCGCGAATGAAGCCCCGTCGGTGTGGCTAATGGCATTGGGCTTGTGCTTCGTCTCCGCCAATGCCGCCATCCCAGACTTCCCGCATGCACTGCCCTCGGGTCTGTGGCGGATGACGTCGGGCACGTCCGTCGCACCACGCGGCACAACCCCGTCGTTGTAGCTGATGGCGATGG